AATGGTCGAAGGAAAACATAAAATAAACTCGTGGTTGACGACAGTGAACGCTCTCGCGATGAAACGCAGTAGGACTTCTTGTCAGTTCACAAAAGTTATTTGCGAACGAATTATTGTTCGCATTAATAAATAAGTTTCTTTGCACCGACGAGAAGTTTTATCCCTCGGCTATCAGGAATTTTACCGAATTTTAATATGCGCTAAAAACGTCACTCGAAGTCCTCGAGTGACGTTAACAGGGGTTCTCGATTCGAAGATAAATTTAGACGACTCGAAACTGACAACGGCGTGAAATTAGAGAAAGATAATGTTTTAATATTCCAGCGTGAGTTGAAACCGGTGGCGCGAAACTTACAAAATTCACAAACCTGATCTAGCAGAATCTGTTGGTTTTCACGGCGACCACGCGAGATCGGTGCATTTCGCTCGTGTTCCCCGAGAAATTGTCCTGATTCTCGAAAGTCGGAGCATAGAATAGAGCGAGAACAATCGAGAGAAAAGCGGGACGAGAAAGATGGGATAACGTGGCGTGAAATTTTTGGCACCGGTGGATGGAAAATATGATATGACTACGATGCACGTAGGCGAAACGGGCGGAGGCCATCGAGAAGAGAGCCGCAGCAGGAAGAATATTTCATGTTTTACGGCGCCAGCGTCGTTGGGGTTGTGCGCCGGGCAAAAAAAGTGTCAGCCCGCCGGCTAAATCAGAGCGCGAGTGCATTAAACTCCGAATTACCACAAATAGAACTTTAACCGCACATGCCCATTATAATGGGTGCCCCCCTGCTGAAGATGTATTTACGTACCGAGCCCGCCTTCGCGGCTCACGCTGAGTCGTTGGAATTAACATCTGGCCCAAAGACGAGCTGCCTCGGTTCATTGGACCCTTCTTTTCACCCGACTTCAGCCGGATTAACCGTCCAAATGGTTCGACGATGCTCGCGTATCGCAACGAGTATTCGCTCGATCGAGTGCGAGAAATCGCAAGCCAGGCTCTCGACACCGCGTCTCACGATCGCAGCGATTGTGTTTGTTCAACGATCAACAAGGAAAGTGAACTGGCGTTGTAAACTGGCGCTTTGCGCTTTGTAGTTTTACTAACTGGATCGCTCGAATTTTTAGAAACTAATAACCGCTCGAGGCATCGAAGGATTCGTCGAAAAATTACGACGTGTTCTCTCGAAATAAAGACGGTACCCGGGTGAGGAGTTTTCGGCATCTTCGTCAAGCCGAACGAGCAAGGCGTCAAAACTGACCGCCCAAAGGCCGAGACGTGTAAATCAAGTATCAGTTCGGACGTGAAATACGAGCGGAACATGGGCCTCCATTCTTCGAGGAATTAAAATTCTTGGCAGGGACCCTTCGTTCACTGCCGGCAGCGAACGCGAGGAGATGCGCTCAATAGGACGACGAGGCACGAGGAAATCTCCGGAGTGCTTTTACACGCAAATTAGGTCTATTAGGAGCATCGTGCGTACAAAAACACTCGTGCCGCGGTGGCATCACGCTTGGTCCCTCGGCAGGCCTGCCTGCCTGCCCGCCCCGTTACGCACGTGCGTGCTTCTTTATGAATTATTAGAATTAATGACACCTCACGCATCGCCTCGCGCTATAGGGCGTCACGTCGTCCAATTGCTTGCACGAGATTTCGCCCTCGAAAGGGAAGGAAGAAGAAGAAAGAAAAAAAAAAAAAAAAAGGGAAGAAAAGAGTTTCAACTGCTAAAGGGTCTCCCCGTTCCTTATCTCCTCCAACCCTCCCGACAATTCGATTCTCTGCCTTCTTTCAAACAACCACTCGTGCAAAACGCGAGCGTTGTTTTTCAAACGCGCGTCGTCGATGCATCATTTAATACGATGGATTATTTAGACAGACCAGACAAACGTACAGTCGCTCTTCGCTCTGCTCTTTTTTTTTTTTTTTTAAATCGTTTCTAACCGGTAGCAGTTTGTAATTTCTCCTGCGTATTTTCTCCTCCGGTGGAATAAGTTGAGCGTCGCCGAGCGAATTTGTCAATCTGTCCAGCTGTTGGGCCGCGGATTCAATTTCGGAGCCAATCAGCGTGTTTACGACGTATTTTTGAAATAATCGAATATCGAAACCTTCGAAGGAGTCAATAAATCAATTCCAACTTCTACTCGCGTCGAAAGCGTGCTAATAATGACGATCGTAAATGTTAAAAAGTACAATTCCACGATGTCGTGATCAATATCAATCAACAACGCAATTAATTCCCAATTTAAGCGATTTAAAACGATGCTCGATGGAATAATTCGGGACAAACAAATCGATCGATCCGAATCGAACTCGAAAGCCGAAGAGAATCGATACTCCAAATGGAGGAAAATTACTTAATCGAGTCTAAACAGAGAGAAGATGTGCCGACGATTAATACGCGATATCGCGTTTGAGCACGAAAACGGTGGGAAACACTCGATTCACATTTGACGCTCGAAGACGGCGGCGGCGTAACTTGCTCAGCGGCGATGATTCGTGAGTCGATAATAATCGATGGAGGGCGCCGAATGGAAAATAGAGGAGCAAGGCTACAAAGCGAGAGCTGAAAGTGGGTAAGTTGTCGAGCGAAACGTTATCGCGCGCCGGATCGTCGGCTGGGGTTGAATCGGCTAAAAGGGAGCTTGAATGGGGCTGGAAACGGGGGTTGACGCGAGCCGAGGGAAAAGGAGAACAGAAGCGGTGGATGAACGTGGAGGAACGAGGAGAAATGTGCAAAGATTTAAGAAGGGGTGAAGCATCGATTACTTTTCTTGACCTGGACAATATCCGTGTTATTCATACCTTCGCCCCCTCTCCTTTTCCTTTCCTCCACCTAAAACGTTTCGTTTCTTACTCTCTTCTTTCTCTGTAGTGTCGCTGAAATTGTCGCGATAATTCAACGTTTTCTTTTCAATTTTAATTTCGAGACGAAGCTAAGGAAAAGCAAACGCGAGCAAGCAGACGAAAGAGAAATTGCGGTGTTTCTCTCATTCTCTAGAAAAAAATCGTTCGAGTCGTTCGGAAAAGACTTTTCCCTCTCGCAGCCGAGACCAGGTTAAGCGAAACAATTTACGACACCACCGTGTCGCAAACACCGCGAAGGAATCAGAGAGAGAAAGAAAGAGAGAGAGAGAGAGAGAGAGAGCAGCAGATAAGGGAGAGCCGGTTGGGTTTTCTTTTGGCCAGCCACCGGGAGAGAACTACCGTCCCAACGATATCGCGAGTCGAGTGCTTCCTTTGGGATTTTCCGCCTTCGACTCTCCATCAACCGGCACTTTCCTCCTCTTTCTCCTTTCGTTCCCCTCGCGTTCGTTTTCCAGGTTGAGCAAAGCGGTGCCCTCTCTTTCTCCCCCGTTCTCCCTCTTTCTCGGGCCAACCCTCCTCCGCCAACCCTCTCCTCCTCCGCCTCCTCCACCTCTTTCAGCGACTCACCATGGTCCCGAGGCGGCAAGCAAAGAACTCTCTCCTACCCTCTGGCTGCTCGCACTGATTTTCTACCCTCGACACCCTTCCTATCCGACAGTCCACTCCGCACACCCTTCGTCCAACCTCCTACCCGCTTTCTATCCGCCCTCAACCCCCGCGGCGTCACCCTGCCGGTAGTCACGCTGCCAACACGTGCTCCTGTTTACCTCTCCAATCACATGGCCGGTGGGAAGCGTGTGTGCCAGCCACGGTGGCCAGCGTGGTCTCACTGACGGTGTCATTTCATCGAAAATATCTGGTGCGCAGCGTATGCGCGCCTGGGTTAATTGGATTCATGACGAGTGCATGCGTGTTCGACACGCACTTGGGGCCGCGCGTACGCGCAACCACCCTCACACCCTCCTCTCCCAACCCCCCTCCCCCCCTCACCCCTCGGCGTCATTCCGCCGATGATTTCGATGAAACCGCGCGGTACACCGGCCTCTTTTTTAACGGTCGAGGGCAGTTGTCGGCCAGAGCGGTGGGGGCAGTCATCGAATCGTTGTAACGAAGAGCTGGCTGGCGCGCGTACTACTGTCGCCAGTAGACATTTGGTATTTCACGATGACGCTTCCCTCAGTCAGTTTATTTCTCTCTCCTATACTTTTCTTTCTTCCCCCGTGTGAAAGTACGCGTATACCTGGAGATGGACAATCGGAATAATCGGAGTAACACGACAGAATGCTTCGTACCTTGCGTAAATTTCGAAAACACGCGCCACGACTTCGTTCGGTAGAGTTTCTTTGGCGGAAACTTGAGATTTTTACGGTTATATCGCGAAACGACGCGAAGGTTAAGAAAACACGCAGCTCGTTACGTACACCTGGCCTGGCCGATCCTTCAATTAGCATTTTCAGGTCACACTCGACACGCAGGCACGTACGCGATCGCGCATAATTATCACCCTAATTATTGGAACGCAGCTAAGTAGCCGCGGGGAATTATCACCGGGTCTCTCCGGGCGTGCTCGCGCGCGCGGAACCCGTTGCCAGTTTCAATCTCTCGCTAGCAACATTCCCGCGTGGCCGGGGCCCCCCCGAGTAACTTTCTTAATTACAGAGATTAACTTCATGCTATCGGGGCAACGATTATCGTTCGCGAGCCTCGCAATTGCCTGGCCAGATATAAATACACGGCTGGATCGAGCAAACCGAATTTTGATGGAAATATATATATATATATATATACATATATATACATACATATACTCCCCTTTCCTCTTTTCGACTACCATCAATTACCACGATTACAGGCCTTTTCTATTAGACGAACCTGGTCCTACCAAACAATGCTTTTTATCTTTCTCGTTTCGACGGCGTAAGCGTAATCTTATCTGTAAAATTGGACGGTGTCTATCTGAGAATTTCCTGTTCGAGTGAACCTCCGATTACCATCGGATATATTTCCACGTTCTGTCAAACGATACTTCTCTAGTTTCTACGAAACTGATCTACCATCGAGGGAGACAGATGTTTTTAATTGACGCCTACGGTTTCGTCTAGGCACGAGAACGGATAAAAATGACGACAGACACACTCACCTGAGGTGACCTGCGATTGATGTACGTGGGACGTCGTCCTGACGTAGGTTCTCTCGACTGATTGGCTCTATTTGTTCAGCTCGATGCCACCTGCTCGAACCAACTGAGAATCTTCTTGCCGTGATTCCCCAGTCTGGCGGATTTGGCCGTGCTTGCCTCGGGTATGAAATTCTCTTCTCGACTCTTCTCGAACACCAACCGGACTCGACCGCAAGTACCTCCGGTTTTTCTGTCTCGATCGGCGACTTTCCTCGACCGCGCCGTTCTCGTCTCGTCTCCTCTCTCGTGCCTTTCTCTTCTCTCACGATCCTCCGGTAATTTTCCAACGAGCAGCGACGACAGGCAACAGCCCGGATGGCGACGGTGGACCGACGTCGACGGACAAACGATTCACAAATACATCGACCGCCGGTGACATCAGCCTACTTAATTACGCCGGGTAATTGTGACTAATTAGGAGCGATTAAGAAGCAAACAGTTAATTGCTCACGGCCCGATAATACGTCGAGACTCGATTCCCTCGATCGTTTCTGCCGGTCCCGGAAGGAACAGATGCCTCTTCTATTTTTTCTTTTCTTCTTCCCTTTTTTTTTTTTTTTTTTTTTTTCGTACGTAAAATTATCTTTTTACAGGGAAAGAACAACACGTTTCACACCGAGACAATTTTCGAGAGTCCTGGTAGTCGTCGTCGTCGTCGTCGTGCAGGATAAATTCTCAACTCTAGCCAAAGAACCGTGCCCGTGTCTGTGTGTGTGAGTGTGTGTGTGTCAGTTCACCTTCGAAGATAGCCGTGTAACGCGAGGACGAACGGAGCCGGACACAAAGCGCGCGGACGAGCGTTGCTTTAATGCGATTTTAATTATTCTATTTGTCAGGCGATGTGCGCGGCGCAGCGTGCTTATCGCGCGCGATTCCACCTCGGAGAACACAACGGCGACGGTCACGTGCGTGTCGCAATTACCAGCGGCTATAATTAGGAGTTTATTAGAGTCCGAGTCCTTGTATCGCCGTCACTTTTATTATTGCATCGTCGGCGCGACGCGCGGTCGTTAGAAAACGGAATGATACGAGCGGCTTCTTCCTCCTCGTGCACTCACACACACACCGTCTTTTCGCACACCGTCCCGTCCGCGCGCACGTACGTCACACAGAGTTTCGCTCGTTGATCAGTCTTTCTTGCCGAATGTCTACTGTTTATTGCCGTGCAATTAACTCGGCCCACCACCTGTCCGTAGCACCTGCCGCGTTTAGTGCCTCCCGCACGTGGCGCTCACACCGCGATAATATATATACATCTATACATATATTTATACATATATATATACATATGTATATATATATATTCGACAGTCTTCGAATCTCCGCTGGAGCCGAAGCCAAGCTGCACCAAGGCTTCGATCGCTGAAGAGTTCGCAGAGATCCGGGTAGGAAGGAAGCCGCGGAAGCTCGGTCGCTGATCGATCGCGACGACGCACAGTAGTAGTCTATGCACGTAGTGGTCAGACGACCGACGATTCGCACTTATATTCCACTGCGTGATATTATCTGTCGGATACCACTGTCGATCACAACGATCAATCAAACAGTCAGGAAGATCGTTGACTCTGTCTCTATGATGCAGTAACTTCGTCGATCTTTGAACTCATCCACGTGCCGATTCGAACGGCGCACGCACCTCTACGCTCTGATTTCCTGATCACACTCGAACCAACTCGACACTCCGCTAGTCACCGGCTTCTTGTATTATATTTCACAAACTTTCTCGAACTCGACGGCCCGTGTGCCCGTGTCCAGGATCCAAGAAGCTTTCCGTCTAGTATCCTCCGGTTCAGATCGGATTCCCGGCTCCAATCGTCGTCCTCTCCTCAGATCGTGGAACAGGATGGATGGATGGATGGATCGATCGATCGATCGACCGCGAGATCCAAGAGCTGGTGGATCGAGCTGGTTGGGACTGTGGTTCGCTGTGGCTCGATCACGTTGGCTTGGCACGTCGTCTCGTCCTCGTGTGTCGCTGGCAGCGTGGTGTGCACGTTGCGCGGTCGAAGCTCGGCGCGAAAACTTGGACCTGAATCCTGACGGTCCGCAGTCTGGCTGCGTAGTGGCCCCGCTGTTGAGTCGAGGGAAGGCAACCCGCCGTGGCTTCTCTCCCGCCTAGCCGCCAGCCAATGCTCGTTTTATCAGGAAGGGGTAACGGAGGCGGTACTGGAGGCGGTGCCGATGCGCGGAGGTGGTCCGCGAGTTACTCGCGAGGATCCCGTTGTTATGATTGTTATGAGTGTCCGAGCTGCCTCCAGCGAGGTTGCTCTGGGGGTGGAACGTCGCGCGCGCGAGAGGGACCCGCGCGTCCTCTGTCCCCCTTTTTCCACAACCTGCTGCCGCTCTCTCTCACTCTCTCACTCTCTCACTCTCACTCTCTCTCCCTCGCTCTGTAATATAACCACCACGAGCTCGAACGAGCTCGTAACCGTGATGCAAATCAGCCCGACGGGGCTGAAGAGTACTTCGACCGGGGATGCCCGGGAGGAGCGATTGCCGGCGAGGACCGATCTCACGGCACCCGCTTCGGTTCTTCCGCGCCGAACGGACACCACCGGTTGACACCAACCTCCTCCTAACGATGTGATTTTAAGGGCTCGTCCGTCTGACGAATCTTTCCTTATACAGCAGGGGGTTCACATCCACGTGCAGGCTGCGGAATCGGTGACAGGGGGGGAGTTGAAAGTCGACGAATGGTCTCCACGACCCACGATTCTTCTGATTTTTCTTGCAGATTTGAAACGGAGGTTTTACTAGCGGACTGGTGGTTCCCTTAGTTTCGCGGGGGTTGGAACAACGACGAAAAAGAGGGATTCATCCGGGTGAATTCCGTTTTTGTTTCATTTTAACTGGGACTTGTTCTTCGAGTACAAAGGCGAGAGATTTTGAGAATTTGAAATTTAGTTTTACAAAATCTCTTTGAAGTTTGTTCATTTAAAAGTCTGCCGGCCGAGAAAGCAGATTTCGTGATCATAAATGAAAAAAGCATGCACGACACTCTATATTCGTTCTGGATACGAATAGAGGAATAATATAGGAATGATATATAATTAGAAAAACGCTCTTAAGCATTTTCCAAGATTGTTACAACTCCGCGGCATTTTCATTCGTAGCTCGAAAATTTTCAAGGAAACGCACGCCGCGAATTACGCACGTCCCATCCATGTTCTTCAAGTATCTGCCAATTGCAAGTCACAGATGCACTCCAATTACACGTACGGTCGGTCGGCCCGGTAGGCCTGGGCGGTCATTAATTTTGATAAATCGTCGTACAGAGAAGTCGGAGTTTGTCGACGTTGATCCACTGTCTCATTTATCTTCAGGGGCGCGATGAACCCCGTGGCTGGTAATTGCAACGCTACCAGCCGATAGCGCGCCATTTTCGTTTCGTTCTGTCTCCCAGATGGAAACGACCGGACAACTGGTTCGCCAATTTCGACCGACCTGTCGGACGGATCGAGAAAGAATTTCGAGACAAGTCACCGTGGCTAACAAATTATTAGGAGAACCCGCATTGAAAATTTTCGCGACTGTTTGGAATAATCGGGCGTCCGAGTAACAGAAAGTAACAATCGGAATCGGGAAAATATCGGGGGACGAGGAAGAACGAGATGGCTTTATGGTGGACCATCGAGGAAAATAGGGAACGATACGGTTCCCTCTTACTCCGGAACATCGGCGAATGAAATAACGTGCGGTTTGAATTTTCATCGTGTCGAGCGAGGAGAGATCGACACGAGTTGGAAAGAAATATGTATTAAAATCTGAAGCGTCGATCTGACCGACGAATCCCAAGCATTACGCTCAACCATAGGATGTAAATCTTTTGAAATTTTTTGCCCACTGGACGAGTGGCCTGGTCGCTTCGCAGCTGAATACATAACGAATGGTTTTCGCACCTTATCTTTGACTCGGCACATGCCCCGCGTACTTACAAGTTAATTATTTCCGCCATCTGTACCGCAAAATTCGTACCACTGGCCGTTTCGTTTCACACTTTGCCCTGCTACTCGTCTTTCAGCGAAATTTTCAGGTCAGGTCGTTCCCCGACTTTCTTCCGTCGAAAATCAGCGACGAAATTACAGAAAACCGGCGTCCCTCCTCGTTTACCATCTCTCATTTCGTTTGGAAACTAATTTTTCCATCAACAACTTGTGAAAAGTCCGTAGAATTTAGCCAAAGAGCAGTACGACGATAGGAAATTATTTCATAACTCGCGCGTTTGCCACCCACGATCTTCATCGTGCGTGAAAATATTCGCGAACGGCGAATTTCGTGTAAATATAACTGCGTGTTTCGTTACTACGCAGCCAGCCTTTATTAAGTCCAAATTTTACCCCTTTTGAGCGACGAGCTACCCTCGTCGGCGCCACTATTACTGTCCGCACCCTCGGTGTTTTAATGTTCTCCCCTCAATTTCTCCAACATCGACCTCGACAATATTCTGTCGTGATTCGACCCTTGGAGGCGCGTCTCTCCGCTACAAATACATTTCGGCCCGAAACATCGCTCGAAGACAGCGAGCTTTTCGAGTTCGACCGCGCTCCGGTCACGCTAGCTGACAGTAAATTATTGTACTTCTTTACGTGCTGTCCCATGCTCGGCCACGACGACGTCCATCCATCGATCGCGAAACCTCCGATTAGTCCTTGGCAATTCGTAATGAGAATCAGCGTATCGTAACGAGAGACACGATGTCTCTTTCATTTTCAGGAATATTCCTTCAACGTCCAATTGTCTTTCGAATTTTGCCGAAGAGTTGTTCCACACGCGAGTTCGAATCATCCCCGCGAAACGCGAACGATCGAACGTTTGGAAAGGAACAGGGACCAGGTTCCACCTGTTTCTCAGCGGCTGAAACCTCGGCGACATTGACGAAAGTACGTGCGGATCTTTTCCAGGAAATATACGAGGAAATGAATGAATCCGGCCGTCCTTCTTGCTCCCGAAGGTCCACGTGCTTTTCACATATAACTCGCCCCCGGTCGGAGGCAGGAGGTGTAGCCAGCTGGTGGTTGAAGTTGTAGGAGTCGGCAGGATGTGGGTCTCTACGCTCTCTCTCTCTCTTTCTCTCTCTGGGTATTCCTTCCATCCCTCTTGCACCATCGTCTCCTCGCTCGTTGCTCGGCCACTTCGGCACGTCCTTCTTCCGCCGATAGCCACCCTCTTCGTTCCGCTCTTTCTCTCTCTCTCTCTTTCTCTCTCTCTCTCACTCACTCTAGCACCGCTTGTTCGCTCGCTCGCTTCCCTCCTCACCCTCGCGTTCCTTGCCGCACATGCCGTTCCTCACCCTCTGCTCCGAGGGAGCACGAAAAGGGGGGTTGCTGCTCCGTCTTTCTCCCCCGTCCCACCGGATCGATTAAAACTACAAAGTGTTGCCTCTCCATCCGTTGGTACGCTCATTCGTGGTCGACTACATTGCTCCGGCACTCTCCTGGCGGCACTGGGTTACCAACTCTTTCCCTACTGCCTCTGGCCCTCTGTCTTTCCCACTTTGCCCCTTCCTCTTCCGTCTTGCTCCCTCTCGCCGCCTTTCTACTATCCACCGCTACCTTCCCTTGGTTCGTATTTTCTTTTTATCGTCCTTCCTTCCTTCCTTCCTTCCTTCCTTCCTTCCTTCCTTCCTTCTTTCTTTCTTTCTTTCTTTCTTCCTTCCTTTTTCCCCCCTCCTCTCTCTCTCTCTCTCCTTTCCTCGTCACTTTCTTTTTCGTCCTTTTATCGGGCAGGATCTCCGTATTCATGGGCGTCCGCTCCACTTCCTGATAATCTCCGCGTAAAACTTCTCCATCCCGACGGGGATTGCCTTCGTCCCGCGGCGTGGCGCTCAACGGGACCTTTCTTTCTCTCCGTTTTCCCAGTGGCGTGCCGCCGCCGATCGGACGTTACTTCTCACCCTCTGGACTCACCCTCTTCCAGCCGAACGGATGCTAATGATCTTACCCCCGGGTGACTTGGTTCGCTCTACGGTTCCTTTCACGCTTTCTGTCTCTCACCGGTTGCCGCTTTTCACGATACTTCGTTTCGGTTCCTTCTCCTTTCTCCGTCTCTCTTCGGCGAGATCGATCGAAAGAGATTTCAGCAAGCGTTTTAATAGGAGAGGTCATTTTATGCGAGACGAGCTACCGATTTGACTGTCTAATCCCGCGGATATTTCAGCTCTCGCCGTTTGAACGGATTTCGAAGCGATTCGGGAGCGTGTGTAAAATGTTCTTTGACATGTTGCTCCTCCAACACGCTCCGGACGAAGACGGATTAATTTCAAACTCGGGGCAAAAAAGGATGAAATCGCGCGCATCACGAAAAGAGACACGCTCTCGGAACCCGATTGATCGACAAACTCGACAGATTCCATTCAACGAGTCAGCTCTTTCTCAAGCTGCGGAGGAAACGCTCGCGGTCGATCCCCCGATTCTTTCGCCCCGGGATCGCTCAATCCGAGCGGATGGAAGGAAACAGAGTTCCAAAGGAAACAAGTGGCCTTTTAATCCCGGCGCGGCCGCCTTTTCTCGCGTCTGGTAGGCAGCCACGAAAGATTAGTGGTATCGGGTGAAAGGCGAGGAAGAGTGGCGCGATTATATCCTCGAGGGGCCCTACCTTCCACCCCACTCTGGTTCCACGGCCGGTACCGCATCCAGCTCCGTCCAGGTTTGGCCGAGGTTTCAAGTCGCAAACTATGCGCGGCTAATAACAGAGCCAACGAGAGCCAAGCAGTCTTTACGAGCATCTTCCCAGAAGTATAAACCCACTTCGGGCTCCTCGGGCCCGTAACGGCTGTTTCGTTTGGG